CATGATGCATGGCGTACTTTGCACCCTTCGGACAAAGATTACACCTTTTACTCTGCGCCTCACAAACGCCATTCAAGAATCGATTATTTCTTTCTTTCGCAACAAGATTTATACGCCCTGAAGTCAGCCTCGATCGAACCGAAGATCCTTTCAGACCATCACCCGATTATGATCACTTTGCAATTCCTGGATACCCAAGTACTTCCAAAATATGGAGACTGGACCCATTTCTCCTAACGGACGCATCAGTTATTCTTCAGATCCGTAGTTCTTTGACTAACTACTTTCAAGAAAATGCATCCTCGGAAACATCCCCTCTCGTACGGTGGGAGGTGCACAAATGTGTGATACGTGGAATTCTAATATCTATCTCGTCTGAGCGAAAACGTATGGCGCAAGCATCATTCAACGCATTATTGCACAAAGTCCGCACACTTGAGTGCTCCCATAAACTATCTATGGCATTAAGATCTTTTAATGAGCTGGAGCAAGCACGTAAACAACTCAGCGAGGTCGTGGAAAAGAAATCTAAACGTAATTTTATTCTTCAACAAAAACTTTTCTACGAACATGGAAATAAGAGTGGCAAATTTCTTGCTCGGGCTTTACAATCCAAAAAGGCTGCTCGGCACGTATATCAGCTCCATTCCAAACATGGACGCACACTGAAAACACCGTCGGATATTGCAGCGGAATTTGAGGAGTATTACTTTAATTTATATAATTTATCCCTACCGTCCAAACCAGCAGCTGATACTAGGCCACGTGAGGTCATTATACAGTCATTCCTCACACAATATCTTCCTAAACCGATCTCTAGATCGCAAGCAAAAGATTTAGAGAGTGCTCTGACGTTAGCGGAACTACAACAGGCTATTACGCAGTTGAAACCTGGTAAAAGTCCAGGACCTGACGGTTTTATTAATTCTTATTACAAATCTTTTCTTGACGTATTAACACTCCCATTTCTCCAGGCTTTCAATTCATTAAACACTCCGGGGCAGTCCATGCGCAATCTTTCCAAGGCTCACATTACGGTTATACCCAAAGAGAATAAGGATCACACGTCCCCAGCGAACTACCGACCAATTTCCCTATTGAATGTTGATCTAAAGATCTTTGCCAAGATTCTGGCTAATCGTCTACTACATGTTATAGAATCCCTCATATCTCCGGATCAGGTGGGTTTTGTTCCGGAAGAGAGCAGCCAGAGATAACACAATAAGGGCCATAAATATACTTCATTGGTTAACCCAAAATCAACAGTCCGGATTCTTTCTCTCTTTAGACGCCGAGAAGGTGTTTGACAGACTAGCTTGGGATTACCTAGAGGCAGTTTTGATTGGCATTGGACTGCCTTTGCGCTTTTTGACATGTATTATGTCTCTATATAAAGCCCCCACAGCGCGAGTGCGAGTGAACGGACACCTATCAGACTCTTTTCTGATCAGCAACGGGACCAGACAGGGATGCCCACTGTCACCTCTCTTATTCATTCTTACACTGGAACCCTTATTGAATTGCATTAAAGATAATGCCAACATTAAAGGGATTTTGATCAATGGCAAAACGCATAAAGTGGCAGCCTTTGCTGACGACATACTGCTTTTCCTGACAGAACCTCATATCACGATACCTAATTTGTTACAGGATTTCAAATTATTTCAGTATTTGGCTAACTTCAAAATTAACTTTTCTAAATCCCAAGCGCTTAATGTATCATTAAATCCGGAGGTGGTTAAACAAGCGACATCAAATTTTCCCTTTACCTGGCAACGAGAAGCTATCACTTATTTAGGTATCCAACTACCATCCCATCTTACCGAACTATATGCAACAAATTTTCTACCCCTCTTGCATAACATTTCCAAAGACCTTCAGACGTGGAATAAACCTTGGTTCTCTTGGTTTGGTAGAGCAGCCATACTTAAGATGAACGTGCTCCCCAGAATATTATATTTACTACAAACAATACCAATTCAATTACCAAATTCATTCTTTCAATCATATAAAACGCTCTGCTCCTCTTTTCTTTGGTATAATAAACGCCCAAGAATCAGCTTCACCCAACTCACTATGCCCAAGAAGAATGGAGGTATTGGATTACCGGATATTACTCGTTACTACAGGTCTTGCCACCTAGCCAGATTAGTAGACTGGACCACGAATCACATTCGTAAGATCTGGGTCGGTTTGGAGGCTGATTTTTCAAAGATACCACTTTCCACCTCCACATGGCTGAAAACCGCCCATGTCCCTTCTGAATTTCGGATGCACCCACTTATAGGTCCCACTTTACGCTGTAGCGCGCAAGTGTTTCAGGAAAAAGTACTTTCTTCCTCTCCGAGCCCTTTCACTCCGATCAAATTGAACCCGGACTTTATTCCAGGGATGTCTACGACCTTTCTCGCTGGGTATAAACGGGAAGATAACCTAACAGTACGTCAATTTCTCAAAGATTCTAAGCTCCTATCTAGAGAAGACATTACAAAGGCGTGGCCATCCCTTACCTTAACGCCTTGGATGTATAGACAAATCCACCACTTTCTACGTAACTCCCCACATCTAAAGGATTATTCAAGACCGCTTACTGCTTTCGAAAAACTCTGCTTTACAGATCTCCCACAGAGGCATGTAATATCCAAATTATATTCCCTATTGGAAAGTTCCAATACATCTCACTCACTGAAGGCCTGTGCAGCCTGGCAGCATGATCTAGAAATTTCAATCTCACCTGAGGATTGGAACCACATTTACGATCACATGCATAAAGGTTCCATATGTGTTTCTACACAAGAAAGCAACTACAAAGTTTTTTTTCCAGATGGTACAGAGTTCCATCTGTGATTCATAAATTTGATCCTAAAGTGCCAGATTTATGCTGGCGATGCTCCCAGGCAAATGGTACTCTTCTACATATATGGTGGGAATACCCGCTGCTGCAACCCTTCTGGAGAAAAGTTTTGGACACCATTAGACAAGTAACCACTTACACCCTAGACTTTACACCAGCACAATGTCTACTCCATCACTCCTCACTTCCGGTGAGGATTTACCGTAAGTCCCTTGCATTACACATGTTAAATGCGGCAAAGCAGTGTATCCCTGTTCATTGGCGATCAGCCTATATTCCCACCGTACGAGAGTGGATTCTTAGGATCCAGAGGATTGCTGAAATGGAGGAACTGATCTCAGTGGCAAAAGATCACCCCGAGCGATTCAGGAAGACTTGGGCTTGTTGGACCCATTTCCAATCTACTGATACTTACCATGGCTTGCTGAAGGATTGAGCGAGAAAGGCTTGGAGACACAGAAGGCCTCTAGAACTTTCACCTCGGCAATAACTCCATTATAATTCACTGAATTATATCTCTAATTAAAAAGATGGAATTAGATACAGCTAGGCTGTTACTAATAGATGTAACTGGTTTGGTTATGCTTATTTAAATATGAACCTCATCCTCCAACCACTGCCCCCCCCCCCCCCCCCCCCCTTCTCCCACCCTTTTTTTTTTTTTTTCTCTCTCCTCTCCCCATTCCCCCCTTCTATTTGTCATGTGCGTCTCCTCCCACCTCATTTTGATATCTCATCTCATATTCTTCCTCCATCCCCACGCTCCTCTCTTTCTTTTCTTTTCTTTCTCTCATTTGCACCCTCTTTTCTCATAGTCTAATTAGTTATTATTCTCATTAGGTACGGAACACTCATAGCTATACAGATGTAACAATATTCTACAACAGTAGCCCACATTTTTTAGAGATGGAAATATATGTCATAGATGCCTTGAGAGGATACTTTTGTCGACCACTTCAGAATCCGATTATGTGTACTCTCCTTACATAGAGCCTAGTGTATACCATAATTATCTAAAGTACATGCTACTGTCAGTATTGCTATGGTTACGTCTATTACTTTTGCCTTACTGTGGAACTCCGTCCCGATGTTCTACAAATTAATATATTGTCTTGATCCCATCTGCGTTACGGGAGAACGTTAACGTATAAGAAATTTTGCACGGACTGCGATCCGTTTCTGTCTATCATTTGTTTACCTTTCATACTTCAATAAAATGTTTTTTTTGGAAAAAAAAAAAAAATTATTATGGAAGCTCAGGTCTAGAATATAGTATACAGTGTTGCATGCATGGAAGCTGCCTAGGAGCATGATATAGATTGGATGTATATGCTGGATGGGTGGAGTGCCTCTATACTTATGACAAGGGAATTGGGTACTTTAAAGGCTTCTGATTGTTGTATTATTTGCAAGTACTCGGTGGACTTTGTCATCTGGTCTGGGATCCAATAAATGCTAATCTCTCTGGAGAACCAAGGTGCTTCTGAGAAATTCATTTGGATATAAATAAATCATCTATTTATTTACAACACTAATCCCTGCCACCCACTCAGTGTCGCTAATCACCGCACAATTCATAATGTCATATTGTCCCTGACAATTGCCACACCAGTCATATTGTCCCTGATCACTGCCACGCCATTTACAATGCCCCTGATCACCGCCACTCCATTCATATTGTCCCTGATCACAGCCACACCAGTTATGGTGTCCCTGATCATCTCCACCTCAGTTACAGTGTCCTTCATCACTGCCACAGCAGACCCAGTGTCCCTGATCATCACCTGTGCCTGCTGCCTGAACCAATTCTTGCCTGTATATTGACCACATTTGTACTTGCCTCCTGGACCAATTCTTTGCATGGTTGCTGACCATGTCTCTGCCTTTACAGCCTATGTGGATAGAGCTGTAGTATTGGAAACAGGAGAATTGTGTTCTGGTTCTGTAAAGTTCACCATACACTATACAATCTGATTGTACAATCTCCTTTAGATCTACCATCAACCAAGACCAAATCTAGCCTACCTGGTCTGTGGGTGCAGTAAAAAAAGTCAGGGGGCATAAAGTCAACACTGTGTGTGAGTCACACAATGTCACAACCTGGAAAACACTAGTATGCATCAGGCTGGCACAGAACCTGTCCTCCTTATATCAGATGTCCCTATCAGAGTCCCTCTTTAAATTAGGAGTCTTCATCAGAGCCCTCCTTTACATTGAGCTCCCATCAGCTTGTCCTCTTACATTATGTGTCCCCATCAGATTTCCCCCTTACATCAACTGTCCCAACAGAGTGCCCCCTTAGATCAGGATCCCTATCAGAGTGCCCCCTTACATCAGGGGTCTCCACCTTACATCAGGTGTCCCCATCAGATTGCCACTGTACATCAGGTGTCCCACCACAGTCCCCATCAGAGTGCCTCCTTACATCAGGTGTTCCCATCAGAGTGCCCCCTTACATCAGGTGTTCCCATCAGAGTGCCCCCTTACATCAGGTGTTCCCATCAGAGTGCCCCCTTACATCAGGTGTCCCATCAGAGTGTTCCCTTACATCAGGTTCCTATCAGAGTCCCATCAGAGTGCCCCCTTACATCAGTTGTCCCATCAGAGTGCCCCCCTTACATCAGGTGTCCTATCAGAGTCCCCATCAGAGTGCCCCCTTACATCAGGTGTCCCCATCAGAGTGCCCCCTTACATCAGGTGTTTCCATCAGAATGTTCCCCATATGTGGATTGAACCCATCTGTATGCCTCCTTACATCATCTGTCTGCATCAGGCTGGCTCATGGATTAGTATATGCATTTATGGAGATCTGGGGGGGTACAGCTAAAGTATGGGTGGGCGCAGTCCACCCCAGCACCCCCTAGATCCGGCCCTGCCATCAACTATCTAGTGGAAAGGCCTGCCTGATTCGATACAGACTGATTGGGTAGATACGTGGGTCCTTCTATTCCATAGTTCTGGAAAATCTAAAGGAAATTGTACATTGTGTATGGCCACCTTTATACACCTGTTCAGTCAGCACACTATGCCAAATGAATGATCTATGCAACATGCAAATTAAGGTAGAAAAATAAAAACCAATGTCTGTGTATTTAGTGAGAACAGTGATGACTGACTGATTTTCATTTAATATTCATGCACCTGGAAGTGGGTGAGAGGTAGGAGGGTAGATGATGCAGGGTGTGTGCTAATGAGGTCAGCTGATCAACTCCTTCCTGTGTCATGACCTAAAGGCTCTGCAGGAAATAAGGCAGAAAGGTGGGTAGATAAAATGGAAAGCTTCTTTACAAAAGAAGTACATTACTGCTATATTGGTACATAGGGGAGTTGGAATCTAGAAAAAAAAGGTGAACTTATCCTTTAATAAAGACATAATGTTTAAAAAAGTATGGGGTCCGCCAAATGCCATACCAGACCCTCTGAGTCTGGTAAATTGATTTTTTTTTTTGTTTACAAACGGGTTTTATTTTCAAGAAATAGTCTGTAAAATAACAGTACAGCTTCAAACAATGTGTATAGTTGTGACAAAGCACAGTTGAATTGTACATTCCAAAAAGGCATAATCATATCGAAAAAGAAAAAATGAAAAGAAAAGAAGAAGAGAGAATAGAATCTAAGTACATGAGAAATATAAATAAAGAGATAGGTAGAATTATATCTGCCAACAGTACAAATCAGGCAATCCTCAAATGGAATGGCCCTAAGCATGCAGTAAATGTCTACAAACCTTCCAAGATTCCCATTTTCTATCAAATAAATGCATTGTATCCAGTATGGTGTAATGAATTCGTTCCATGAGCATCACAGCATCTACTCTATGTAAAACAGAGGCCAATGATACCGAAGGAGATTTCCAATGTAGGGCAATAGCCCACAGAGTGGATATACAAATAGTATGTATCAATCTCATAACACTAGTTTGAACCCCCGGGATGTGAACACCCAATAGGCAGGACTGTAAAGTCACATGTACCGGGGTACCCACCAGTGCAGTAACTACCTCGGATATCCTGCGCCACACCAAGGATAAGGTTGGGCAAGCCCAAAATGTATGTACCAAAGTACCGGTAAGGCCACAGCCACGGAAACATAAGGGGGACGTTTGTGGATACAAGACATGTAGTCTTGACGGGGTATAATACCATCTGGTTAATACCTTGAGGGAAGTCTCACGGAGAGAAAGGGATATGGAGCTCTTACATATGTTGTCCACCATGGAGTCCCAATCCTCATCCGAAAAGGTGATACCACTATCCACCTCCCTGGTAAATTGATTTTAAGGGGGAACCCCATGTACAAACCAAGAAAAAAAAGTGTGAATCCATACCAGACCCTTATCCATGCATGGAGCCTGGATGGCCAGAAACCATATCAGGCCACATGCCATCAACATAAGAGAGTACCTTGGCAAGATTTGAACGTTTTCCTAATGATTTGAATGTGTAATAGATAAAAAATACAAAGTATTACAGCTAGACATAACTTAGTGTGTCCCAATCTAAATAAAAATAACTTACTAAGCAAGTACAATAATATAGTGTAGTGTAGTGTAGTATAGATAGTATAGTACTGACATCTAGTGGTCACATTTTGCATTTTTGATCAATGAAAATGTTTTACTAATAGACTATTGCAGTAACATTAAAGATATATAAAGGATAATGATCATAATATTGCATAAGGCTCCTATCACATACAGACATCCTATAATGCAGGCAGCATCACTGCAATACTGCCTGCGATTTTGAAATGTGTTGTTAAAATGTGAAATCACACATCAGCGTGTTCAGGTGCCATTCCTTTTAATGACATCTGAAAACATGGGGTGATTTTGCTGAAATTGCACAAAAAAAAAAAAAAAAATTCCTTCCCGATCACCCAGAAGGCAGCTGGATATTACCTATAAATGTTCAACCAGTTTTGTTTTGTTAATTTAGACAAGCATCCAGTTCTTTTAAAACAATCTGTTGAGCTGGCCAGAACCAGTTCTTGAGGGAGTCTGTTCCACATTTTCACAAGTTTTCTATGCAGAAGCCTTTTTGTATGTGGAGATTAAATCTCTTTTCCTCCAGATGTAAACACTGTCCTTTGTGATAAACTTAAAGTGAATAACTAGTTCACTATATGAACCACTGATGTATTTATACATGTTGATCATACCCTTCTTAATCTCCTCTTCTAAAGAGAGAATAAATTCAGTTCCTCTAATCTTTCCTCATAGCTGAACTCCTCCATGCCTCTTATCAGTTTGGTTGCCCTTCTCTGTACTTTCTCCAGTTCCCCAATGTTCTTTTTGTGAATTGGTGCCCAAAACTGAACTGCATATTCTAGATGAGGCATAACTAATGATTTGTACAGGGGTAGAATGATCTCTCTCTCTGGAGTTTTTTTTTTTTATTAAGTCTATGCTCAACCAGAAGACCAAGATCCTTCTCGACCACTGACTCCCCCAGTTGTCGTCCTCACACAATGTATGATGCATGTGCGTTTTTAGCCCCCAAGTACACAATTTTACATTTATCAACACTGAACCTCATTTGCCATATAGTTGACCAATTAAACAGTGCATTGATTTATTCTTGTAAGTTTAAAACATTTTGTAAGGATGTTATTCCACTGCACAGCTTGGTGTCATCTGCAAACTCAGAAATGGAACTTTTAATCCCAGACCCTATATAATTTATAAATATGTTAAAAAGTAGGTGTCCCAACACTGACCCTTGGGCCACATCACTAATAACCTTGGACCTTCCAGAATATAAATTATTAGTCACTATGGGCAGCACAATGGCTAAATGGTTAGCACTTCTGCCTGGCAGTACTAGGGTCATTGGTTCAAATCCCAGCCACGGAACCTCCTGCCTGGAGTTTGCATGTTCTCCCTGTGCCTGCGTGTGTTTCCTCCGGGTGCTCCGGTTTACTCCCACACTCCAAAGACATGCTGGTAAGTTCATTGGATCCTGTCTAAATTGGCCCTAGTATATGTATGTATGAATTTGAGTTAGGGCCTTAGATTGTACACCTCTTGAGGGTTAGGGACTGATGTGAATGTACAATATATATGTAAAGCGCTGTGTAAATTGATGGTGCTATATAAGTACCTGAAATAAATAAATAATATTCGCTGAATACAGTCTTTTTTAGCCAGTTTTCTACCCATTCAGTTTTCCAAGCCTGTAGACTTTAACTTACACATTAGCCTTGTGTGGGGAACTGTGTCAAACACTGTTGCAAAGTCCAAGTATACTAAATCCACAAATGACGTTGACAGTTGTCATTGGCAGCTAATATAGCACACATACCTCCCCCATGATCTGTTATGCTTCTAGGAAACATTTAGAGGGGGCTGTGTGATATTTTTTAAATGTATAACTTTCTTAACTTTGGCCATGAGTAACAGATACTATTTTTAGCCTTTTAAACTTATTGCCCATGAAAATATATTTTGCAGTGTGTTTGCATATAGTCGATTCAAAACACTCCCATTTGTTGTGTTCTTCAATTAAAATGTTTCCTCTGAGTCTAAGTCTCGGAAAGCAGCCCTCAGCTTTAGAAAACTTGCTCTAACTTGCTCTAAAATGTGTTTTTTATCTTTCCAGTATGTGCTTGTTTACTGCTTACATTAAAGTTGTATTAAACTCAAAAGCATACATTTATTATATTGCAGCTTGCCAATTCATAGATGTGGTGGCTGCATTAGTTTTTACATAGTTACATAGTTAGTCTGGCTGAAAAAAGACAAAAGTCCATCCAGTTCAACCATTAAAAAAAAAACAAAAAAAAAGTTATCCTATACCCACAGTTTTCTTTTTTATACTTCCTCTCTTCAATTTTCATCTGGTGATTCAGCCAGAAAGTCTATAGTTTTTGAACAGAAGAAACACTTTTTGTGGTTACAGAGATGATAAAAACTATAATGAAAACAAGCCGGAAATTGTCCGCTTTTTGTTTATGTATGTTAAACCTTTATCTAAAACGAAAAACTGCTGTAGCTGATTATAAAGTATTAGCTGAAGTGTGGTTTCTTTGTATTAGTGTATTTAAATCTGCTAGTACATCTAACACTCTCCTCCCCCAGACTAGCAATGCTGCTGTGTAAAGGTGCTACCTATGCTCATTCATCCAGAATATAGGGCTCTCTAACACAGGAGGTGTGTTTCTGGTCAGATCACAAGGCGAAAACAGAGGGGAAAAAAAGCCTAAAAAAAAGAAAACTGATGCAGCCACCACATCTAATGATATGTAAGCTGCAATTAATCACATTTTTGATTTTGGGATTAATACTGATTTCAATAAAATCATTTTATGGTCACTTCTACCCAGATGTTCCTTTTATATGAACATTAGTAATAAGCTCTGCGTGGTTAGAGTTTACTAGGTCCAGCAGAACATAATTTCTAGTTGGGGTTCAGTTACACTCTTTTACTGTTCCAGCAGTGCTAATATTTCAGTCAATTTTAGGGTAGCTCAAATCCCCCATTTATTATCACTGTCCCAGCCCTTGCAGCCCATTTTCTCTGTGCAAGGAGCTGAGTCTCCACCTCCTCATTAATACTGGATGGCCTATAAGAAACACCAATATTTAAGCAAACCTAACTGCAGCTTCACCCCTAATGCCTCAGCATCATCACACTCTCCATGAACATCAACAAGTTCCTCTTTCACACCCACTTTGAGATCCTTTTTCACATTCAATTGGACACCGACACCTTTTACGTTTTAACCTGTTTTTCCTCAAGAGCGCATAGCCAGGAATAATAATAGTCAAATCATATGAATAATGAAGCCAAGATTCAGCTAAATTCAATTAAATCATAGAGTTCTTCATGCACCAAAGCTTACAACTCTCTTATTTTTGCTTGGCAGACTTCTCACATTGGTGATCAAACATTTCAAGCCATTTTTGCATTTTGCTCTTGTGTTTTGCATGTCTTCCTTTAGTACAAATGGTACCGTATGTCACATCTATGGTAGTGAGCTCTAAAAAAAAACACAGCTTGGGGTTCCTCAGGGCGCGGAATCTAAGCCCCAGCCTGCTCGTTCACCAGGGCCGCTGATGGTGGGGATGGACTTGGAGCAAGCTGGAACCAGGTTGCAGCCCCCAGGTACACCCAGCTGAGGTAGAGGAGACAGCTAGAGGGGACAGGGTACACCAGGAGTAGACATAGGAGATCCAGTTGGAAAGCCAAGGTCAGGACAGGAGGAAAACTAGCTATGTCAGGAACAAAGCCGGGGTCAGTACACGGGCAGACAATACAGGAGGGATGTCAGGGACAAAGCCGGGGTCGGTACACAGATATACTAATGGATACTCAGTAGAACACAGGGGAGCTCCAACAACAAACGTTGCTCAGGCATTGTGGCCCAGTCTGAGCACATCTTAAATAGACAGGCAGACAAGGAGGTGGGACAGGAAGTGATGGAAGGGAAGGACATAAAACCCAGGGAATAGCAGACGACGCCCATAGGTGAGCAGAGAGAGACACACATCTGAAGGAATCAAGAGCAGCACCAGAGGCTGCAAGCTAATGTAAGCCGTGTACTGGGGTGGGCTCCCCAGGATACAGTGAAGTCACGAACGAGGAAAGCAACCCCAACACCAGCTTTTGCCACAACAGAATTTTACTTAGATGTGGCAAATAAACAAAACCACAAATGCTGGAAAAATACAATAAATTTACATACGCCCAGCCCAAAGGCTGAGACCCTTGTGCTACACAGCACAGCGCCTTCTGATGGATGACGATAGAAAGTGAAGTAATTTACCTACTGGTGGGCACAACTAAGCTACCACACCTTACCTGTTATTACCCTACAAGAGCAGGAATCACAACAGCTTACAATCTTACACAAATCTACAGTATTCCCCCTCCCATAACTGGTCCTGTAGCATGTGCCTGAGTATTCCTTCTGAGCAAAATGCCAGTCTGGCTTGAGTTTGTAGGATTTTATCATCTCTCCAATGTGAAATGTCACTTTAAGTTGTGGAGTCCTTCCAATAATCAGTAACAACACTTGTGGCCTGACACAAACAGAGAGACATTAACTAACTAACTATAGGCCTGGACTCAGTCTATAGGTGCCAACAATGAAATGAGGTGCATGCACGATCTTACCGACCGGGGTCTGCTTTGCATCTGCTGGTGACTCTGAACAGAACAACTGTCTCTCCAACAAGCATGCAGTCTTGCCGTATATGTTGCTTAGTTCCTCTGCTCTCATCAGCCTTCCTGGCAGCAATCTCATCAGCATTCCTGGCGCAATCTCATCCGCTTCCTGGCAGTAATCTCACCAGCATTCCTGGCAGCAATCCCTGGTTACTGAGGGGCACATTCACACCTGGATGTCATCGGATTCTCAGCTCACATGGCCCCTTCATTCAGCATTGTCCCAAACCATGGCTGCAGTCTCCTCTTCCTGTTTACTAAACTCCAACTCTGAGTGTAAAAACCCCACCTCTTCATGAATATACAAAAAACTATGCAGTCTGAGCCTGTGTTAGAAAAACAGTGACATCTTGTGGCTAAACCGCAGAATGTCAGTCAAAACATTAATTTACTTCCACACAGTGTTCAAACAATGAGAGCTGTTTCCCCATTTCACACTAACTTGTGACACCGTAATTACGAATGGTTGTTTGTAAAATAGGTATATGCTTACCACCTGCCATAGCATCCCCCCAATCTTCCCCCATTCCACCTTCCACTATTGTCTATTGAATTGGTATGTCCCACAGTATTCATTCATTGCAGGACAGTCATTCATTGCTGAGTGCAAAATGCAGGCCATGTATGGCATATCAGGTTATCTTGTGGCCTGCAGGTCCACTCCACATGTAGGCCTTTCACCTCTGCAGATGAGCTTTCCATCTCCTCTTGCATGGATCATCCTTATCCGACCATGTATCTTTTTCCACCTCGTGCTATTCCCCTCCACATCCCTACAGTACCTATTCCATTGTCCCATCCCGTTTTCCCAAGCCCCCTTAACACAACCACAACCTCTTACTAACTTTTCCCTGCCCTCCGCCAATTCTTACAGCCCATTACCAAAATCTCTCATTTTTAAATAAATGCTGCTGTAAACTGACTAAAGGTCAGTTTGTAAATGCTGTATTCCTTAAAAGTTGCTTTACCCTCCCGATAGTTATTTTTACTTAAAGTGTTTCTAAACCCAGAACCCTGCATTCACTATATCTGGTCTCCCACAGTACACAGAACATGGAAATGCAATTATTTTAGTAAATATAAACTGCTAAATACCTTTTCTCATCAGACGTTAGAGCAGTCTTGTGACTTCTATCAGTGTTCAGCAGAGCACTGGTTAAAGCTTGTAGGAGGAGTTTTCTCTAGGAGGATGTAGAATCCCTGACCTCTGTCTGAGCAGTGCTGTTTGGCCTTGTGCTCATAACATGCACTCTCACAAGAAAAAAAAAAACCTCTCTAGCAATACACACCAAATTGAGCATGTTCAGTGTCTCCACGGGATATGTCTTATCAGGAGATATGAGGGGGACACAGGAAGAAGGGGAGGATCAGAGAAGTCAGGATCAAACTGCATTTTAATACAATGCAGAGGATTAACCCCTTAGGTTCCACAGTGAGTCTGTATATGCAGTAAAGCATGCTTGTTATACTGATTTTACTGTTGTGCTTTTAGTAACACTTTAACCATCTTCTGCCCGCCATATACTTCAATGACGGGCACAAGGTGGTTCTCTCGTTCTGATAGGATGTCATATGACGTCCTCCCATTCTCACCACGCATGCGCGGCTCAGAGAGCGCGCAGCGAGGTGATCGCCGATGCGCTGTGTCCCTCGGACACAGCGGATCATGGTAAGAGCCGAAAATGTCGGCACAGTCATGTGATCAGCTGTGTCCAATCACAGCTGATCACATGTAAACACAGAAATGCTGGTCATCGGCATTTTTCTCTCCTCTCGAGCTGTCACGCTGACAGGTCGAGAGGAGAAACGGTAATCGGTTTTCCGCGGAGGGGACATGTACACCGATCATCAGGGCACTGATGATCAGTGTGCCCTGATGATCAGTGTGGCCCCAGAAGTGCCACCTGTCAGTGTCCATCAGTGCCAGCAGTCAGAGCTCATCAGTGCCACGTGCCAGTGCCCATCAGTGCCACATCAATGCCACATATCAATGCATACCAGTGCACATCAATGCCACATATCAGTGCCCATCTGAGCTGCCTTTCAATGTCACCCATCAGTGCTAGTCAGTGCCACCTATCAGTGCTGCCAATCAGTGCCACCTATCAGTGCGCATCAGTGCTGCCTATCAGTGCCAGTCAGTGCCGCCTATCACTGCCATATATCAGTGTCATGTATCAGTGCTGCCTTTCAGTGCCCATCAGTGATGCCTGTCAATGCCCATCAGTGTAACCTACCAGTGCCTCCTCATCAGTGTCCATCAGTGCCACCTATCAGTGTCCATCAGTGCAGCCTATCAGTGCCCATCACTGCAGCCTCATTAGCGCACATCAGGGAAGGAGAAAAATCACTTATTTACAAAATTGTATAAAAAAAACGTTTTTTTTTTTCCCCAAAATTTTCAGTGGTTTTTGGTTTGTTTAAGAAAAAATAAAAATCCCAGAGGTGATTAAATACCACCAAAAGAAAGCTCTATCTGTCTCAAAAAAATGATAAAAATGTCATATGGGTACAGTGTTGCATGTTGTCATTCAAAGTGTGACAGCGCTGAAAGCTGGAAATTGGCCTGGGCAGGAAGGAAGTATAAGTGCCCTGTAGGCAAGTGGTTAAAGAGTAAAAAACATTCCCCTCTGGGTGATCTATGTACATGGCAAGAATTATAACAAACATTGTTGCAGATTCCTACCTTTTGTTATTATGAAGAAGCAGATGTTTGTTTGTCTGTGTCCATGTGCAGAGTGAATCTGTATGTGAGTGATTTTATAATTATCAATCAGTTGCTGCACCTGCAGGGCTCTATGAGGAAAGTGGCAGGGTCTGCATCCCTCTAGATGTGATTTTTGTTGCAGGGGATGATTAAAATCTGACTAGTATCTTAGCGCAGACTTCTGAGAAAATCTGTAAGCCAATCACACAAGCAGGAAATGACATATCTTGGGGTGTACTGTACATCATCTGTGTACAGAATGCCTTCAAGTAGCCATATTGCATTGAATTTTACAGAAGATTACAGTGCTGCCGTTTGAAAGGTAATTTTTAATAACATTCAATTACAATATGACTTGTGTAGCAATTGTATTTGATATATTATTTTTTTTATTTGCTATTTTTCCCTATAAAAGTGGAGTTACCCTTTTAAAGGATAAGTTCCCCTTTTGTAACATGTTACACCCATATTAAAGGTGTAACATGTAACATGTTATTATTGCAGCTGCTCCAGCATCCCCTGATCCCCCTTTTTTGCCAGCAAGTGAGGGATCTTCTCTGTCAGAATTTAAGATAAAAGCAGCCAGTCGGGGCTTCGCTCCGCCTGGCCACACCATTCATGCACAGAGTTCTGTAAATGTGAAAACTACAAGTACAGATAGCCTTTGCAGCTGTTGGCTTGTAGTTGTCAATGAGCTACCACGGCACTCTTGAGTGCTCTAGATAGTTTGTTGAGTCTTCCTGTCAGTTTGTAACTACTTGTCTGTACAAGGTACAAGCAGACAGCTTACACAGACTGTCTGCAGGAGCCCTGCATGGCACCCTCAATCTGCTGATCGCAGGTTCAATGCTTTGCAGGCTCATAGTAAAAAAAAAAATAATAAATGCACATTTTTTCTTTAACTACTAAAATATGTGCATTTATTTATTTTCTTTTTTTTTTTACAAAGGTGAACTTATTCTTCAGTAATTGACCTTTTATGTTTACAAAGTCAAAAATAGGTTCATTTTACTTTATAAAATGTACAGTATATATGCACTCTAGAAGTTGCATAAGTTCAAGGATTACTTGTTCCTGGTTTGCCTGGAATGCAGTTAGAAGTGTTTATACTTCTCTCCTTGACAGGTAGAGAAAGGTGTGGAAAGCCGCAACCTCTGCTCCATTGTGTTAGCAGCAAATAGACCTTTCCTTGTAGCACATACAATCAGTGTGCTGAACTGACAAAGAACAAAAACATTCACAATACATAACAGCAGCACATCTGTAAGCAAGTAAAACATAGGATTTAAAAGATTAAAAAAATATCAAGTCTTGGCATGACAAATAAAAAATAAAAAAAACATTCAGTCTAGGTTCACACCTAAGTGTTTTCCACAGCGTTTTGCAGAAATGCACTACAGTCCATTTAACTTGATTTCCTATGGTTTCCTATGGGACCCTTTTTTGAACAGGGTCAGGGACTTTTTTAAATGCAAAAAGTTGTCGTTTTTGTTCTATAGACTTCAATGGAGAAGCTGCAGAAAAGCATGTAGTGTGTTTTTGCTGCGTTTTGCATCTTAATCTGCCTAGCAACAAGAAAAAAAAATCAAAATGCAGCAAAAACGTGTCAAAAATGCATGTGTAAAAATGCAAAACGCACCGCAAAAAGCACTGCAGAAACAGATCAAACGCACACTGCATAGATGTGAACCTAGCCTTAGTGCCCGGTCGCACCGGTGTGATTTTAGGTGCAATTTCCTAATTGAAATCGCATCTAATGAATGTGACCGTCGGTGTCTTAACATGTGCGATTTGCTGCACCGTGATTTCTAAAGTAGTTCTTGCATTACTTTTTCAGCAGTTTTGTTGTGATTTCACATACATAGAATATAATGGAAATCACACTGCAAATTGTAAGAAATCGTTGAAAATCTTCACAAATCTCCGCACCTGAAATCATGCTGAAATTGCACACAAATCGCAGCGGTGTGACTGGCAACTATTAGCTTGTACATGTAATGGTGTAAAAGCAGCTCAAAGGTGAAATGACTTGCTAGGTAAAGTCCTGGATGCACAATAATTATCACATAAAACTCAAATAAGATAAGTTGATCAGCAACTTCCACATAAAAATCGTGAATGTCACTTGTATCCAAAATGTTATACATATTTTAACATCCACATATAGTATAATTTTATATCCAAGGTTGTACAGCAGTTTCTGGTATAAAGAGTATATGTTGGTGCAGCTTTCATATGTTTGTTCAGCTTTCATTAACCACTTGCCATCCGGAAGATTTACTCCCCTTCACGACCAGCCCATTTTTGCTATATGGTGCTGCACCACTTTAACTGACAATTGTGCGGTCATGCAACACTACACAAATGCAATTTATATAATTTTTTTTCACAGAAATAGAGCTTTTATTTTGGTGTGATTTGATGACCACCGGGTTTTTTATTTTTTGCACTATAAATGAAAAAAGACAGAAAATTTAAAAATATATATTTTTTACTTTTTGCTATAGAAAATCCTATAAAAAAATGTCGTCATAAATTTAGGCTAAAATGTATTCTGCTACATGTCTTTGGTAAAAAAAAAAAAATCCCAATAGTTTATATTAATTGGTTTGCATGAAAGTTATAGCGTTTACAAATGGCGGCATATACACTGAAATTTTTATTTATTTACTTTTTATACTAATAAATGGCGGTGATCAGCAACATATACTGCGATAGTACTGCAGGCTTTCTGACACTAGCTGCCACTGGATGGGAACTGACTAACTGCCATGGACATCTCCAGTGACACTAATACAGTGATCAGTGCTAATAAAAACCACTGACACTGTACTAATGACACTGGGCAGGAAGGGGTTAACATCTGGGGCAATCAAAGGGTTAACTGTGTGCTGTGTTTTACTTGGGGAAGTGCTGACTTTTATTTCCTTGGTTGCAGAGAGATAAAAAACCAGCATGTTCCCACTGACAGGGAGAGAGATCTGTGGTGTTTACACTCACAGATCTCTCTCCTGTCAGCTGCTCCGCCGATCACGAGTCCCAGCCATGACAGCGCGGGTAGGGCAGCGCACACGTGCCCCCTACACAGAACTGCAAAATCACATACAACTGCTACAGGGTGGTAAGTGGTTATTCTGCAGTATTTGCATGCTTTTTTGTTTCCATCCTGAACCATTATTACTTTTAACTTTGCATATTTAGCAAATTGCAAATTACGGTTACTCTGATGATTTGCAGATTACCCATTCTGTTAAAATAACAATTTCTACTTTTGCAGCTATAACCGTAATGACTCCGGTCATAGGAGGATTACAGCCTCCTAGTAATGCATTTTTACTACAGAGCTGCCAAATGCCAATGTGAATAACTCTCTACAGGCCAGAATTAAAACTCCAACCCAAATTTAGCTGTTTATACTCTTGACATGACTTTATTGCTAGGAATACATGGGTGATTTTTTGGGTGACTCGTGATTGGGAGTTGCATGGTTTTTCAATTTTATGTCTGATATGTGATTATTCTGCTTCCTGAGGAAGACATCAAAATGTTTATGAACCTGTCGACACTCTCAGCTAGTATCACTTCCTGGGGTGAGGGTTTTATGGCTCTAACAGTAAAGAAGCCTTTCTGCAATTTATGGTTAAAACTTCTTCCTTTCAACCTCAAATGGTAGCTGCATTACAGTCACAGTTTATTACAGTTACTGAAGAGCCTTACTGATGAGCAAGTGATTTTTACCAGTGATACGCATGTGCAAAATATCAAAGTTCTAGTAAACACATCCTGTTACTTGTTAAAGGAACTAAAGTGTGGTGTATTTTCCACAGTGGCGTTTGCAGGTTTTTCCCTGAGGGAAATCTGTACTGGGAAGAGATGTACGGAGAGAAAGATTTGTAATGAGTTGGCTGCAGGGCCGCTCTTAAAAATAATGGGGCCCTGTACAGCCCCCTTCAACCCCAACCTTGACTATACCCCTGATCCCACCCTTGACCACACCCCTAGCCCCCCCTGAACCCAGTTATGTCATCTGCTAGGAGGATCTGCTTGTATATTTTCAGCTAACTACATGTGAACCTTTCTACTTCTACAGCCACTGGCCTCTGAGCCTAATACCAGACAATGACAAATCTGGCCCAAAACATGGAGGCCATTGTAGCAGCTGCTGTGGCTCCTCTCATGAAGTAAATAACTTTCAATGATTTGGTTTTAACTACCATGAAATATTTTTTGAATTACAAAATTGAGGACTACGAGAAGACATCCTTGATCCGCATAGATAATTGTGCACTTACATTCCAGAGATACTGCTGCTGTGGATATTAACTTATGTATGCCTTTACCACTCAAGTTCAGTGGATAGTCATTTCCCACAGAAGAGTCCAAAAGTTCTTCCAGATTACATCATTCCTGAACCTATGCAGGTGGATGTTATTAAAAGATCTATTTCTATTCAGGAGAAAAAG